GGGTTTCAGAAGTTACTTCGGCCAGGAGCATTTACCTGCGCGATGTCACACAAACGGTCCGCAACTGCAACGCAGTGAGCCTCTGTCCTGCTTGTTTGCAATTCTTTCCAGCCATCCCAAGTGGGCACCCAACTCTGCCCAAGTACTTTTGCTGCGTCCTCTGCTGTTCCAAGTCTAGATAACAAGATTGCTGCTACCAGCTGCTGCGCGTCGTCCCAAGGAAGCTCTACGTCTGATGCTTCCTGTGGCTGCACCTTCAGGCCTTGTTCGTCATAGTTTCCCATTCCTCTTGAACGGTTTATTCCTCCCGTGCACAAAGTCAGCATTAAGTCGTTAAATGCTTCCTCATTCGTATGTAGCAACCTTTGGTTCTGAAAGGTTTTGCTGAGACATCTTACTGCAAAAGTGTCCTTTACCTCCGCCAAGAAACCATCGTCAGTTGCATGGCAAAGTGCACAGTGGACGTGTCCGACTTCCCAAGATCCGTGGTTATCACACGCTCCGCGACCACAGGTGTAACAGTGCGACACATACTCTTCACTCAATTGTTTTGGGACATATGCTCTCTTATATGCTAAACATATGAAACACTGCAATTGTTCTGTGCCGCCTCCTTGAAATCGCACAGGCAGCGCCTCGCACATATCAAGTGCATACTGTCTTGGGCGTTTTGCATGTTCGAGCTCAATGGGCGGTTTTCCCGTGTATGTTTGAACTACCGACCCCAACGCGTCTGGGGACACATCAATAGTGTTGTTGGCTACTGCCATTCTTGACTCTACTCTCATATCTTCACAGGCTGCTTGCAGCTCAAGCTGCGTCACAAGTTGCATATTCGTAGCCTTTCTATTGGTTGAGCTTTGAGAACAAAACGTAAAAAATGGAGTTGGCCCGCCACTAACAAACCGGTCTTCTAGGTGCATGCCAAGTTGACACATTGCAGATTGGTTACCTTTTTCTGCCGTAATTCGTTTATTCAACTTATTATCTGATGAGCCACCTGGGTTGCTTCTGTTACTTCCATGATGTTGATTTGCACCAGTCTGAGACGATTCCTGTTTTGGCACATAACATTGACATATATGTTGATCTCTCAAACTGGCACAACCCGCCGGCCCTAGCAGTTGGGGAAACGGCTCGCGAGCTTTCCTCCGAAAAGCCGTCCTTGCAACACTAGTTTTTCGTGGTCTATAACTCGGCGCACTTTTGTGAACCAAGCCTGACATGTTTCTATGCTGTCTTCGCTTCTTGCATATGTAAGTCTCTGGGTTTATTTGTCTTGCACAGAGGGCCTTTCTGTATTTGCATTTCCTAGCGCTTGCGATCTGGAAACACAAAACGCCACCATCCGAAGCGTTCCTAAACCGACGAGATTTATTGGTACTTTGTTTTCTGTCCCGAATTCCTACTTGTCTCTTGTGCACGGTTAGATAGTCACTAGACGGCTTTGGTCTCTGTATGCATGTTTGCGGGGGATGACTACAAGTAGCACATCCTGATGTTGTACTTGTACGTTGATGTGACATCCTCACCCAAGATTGACCATACTTGGCAAACACTCCCAGATACCGCTTTACTGAACCTTTTGTGCTGCTATCACATGCGAATCCTTGCTGCCTTTTTTGTTTCTCATTCCTGGATTGTTCTACCTTTTTTTCAACGCTTTGGTTCTTTACCTGCTTCTTAGCCTTGCACTTTTGACTTCTTGCGCGGCAATGATATCGGCGCCTAGCCTTCTTCACACGCACTGGACCCACCCAACGACATAGAAATGCTACAATGGTTGTTCTATATACGCGCTTTTCTAACTGGCTGCATTTTAGGCTACGTCTTTTTCCCACCCTTTTATATTGACTCTTATGCATCTTGACTCCATTATGGCACCTTGAACCTCCTGGCATGAGACTATGCGAATCCTGGGGCAAAGGAGTTGCAGATGTTCTTGCATGGGCATGGCAACATTCACAATCTACAAGGGCACCACTAAAACCAGCACCAACCCGAGACAGAGTGTTAACAAGGTGTGCTTGATGACCTAATAAATGTTGCAACTCGACCTGTACAAGTCTCATTGTGCTTGCTGCATTTCCGATCAGAATGTTTGGCAATAATGGCACGCACCATTCTTGCCAGCGTGTTGCTACACGAGCTTTGCTAACGCATGCTACTGCGTATTCTCTGCGACGGCAGTTCTGGCACTTGCGTTCTTTGTTGCATCCTTTTGTCTCCTCCCTTCTAAGATTTCGGCTGGAATCCGGCTTTGGGACGCCGGTGCTCCCTACCGGCTTTGGGACGCCGGTGCTCCCTACCGGCTTTGGGACGCCGGCGCTCCCTGTGCATTTTGGGGTGCCCCCCTGTGATCCTGCAGAACGTCCATCTGACCTTAGCCGCGTTGCTTATGCTACCAACGTGACAGTGCTGCTAATGCACACTCTCAGATACTCACGGCGTGGAATCATTCTGCATTCCACCTGACCAAAAGAAATTGCATGACTTACTACTAGCATTTGTTTTCACATTCTTTTTCATCCTATCTTAACACAGTTTCGCACCTTGTGGGCGCGCTGTTCGCATCATGGCCGCTGTAGCACGCTTGCACGTGGCGCCCACGAAGGTGTGCACTTGAGACCAAAGACTTCAGTGAAAGTCATTGATGTTTGACACTCCGAAACAAATTTGGTTGCGAATTGTTGCAAACCTCAGAAACCTCTCTGGAACCCCCGATAAACCCTCAACAAGAGCACAAAGGAGCACCCCGATGGCCACATATAGCCCTCAAACGGGACCTAAAACATTTCCCAACCGAAAAGCTTTCAGTTGAGAAATGCTGAAACCCCTCGAAACTTCTATGGAGCCAGTAAGGAGCACCCGCATCCCAAAGCCAGTAAGGAGCACCGGTGCCCCAAAACCGGATTCCAGCCGAGCTCTTAGAAGAGAGGAGACTAAAGGATGCCAAACAGAAAGCAAGTACTACAACGGCTGTTGCAGACAATATGCAGTCGCATCCGTTAGCAGAGTCCGTGTAGCAACACACTGGCAAGAATGGTGCGTGCTTATCATTCCTATGTCGTTGGGTGGGTCCAGCGCGTGTGAAGCAGGTTAGGTGCCGAGATTCAACAAAACCATACATGACACATAGCCCTCAAAAATCCAAACCTCAAATTCCCGACTAAATTGCAGGTCATCTTTTTCAGAGATGGTTCTATTTTAGCAATCTCCAAAGGGACACAGTGCGAATTGGCGGTAGGAGTACATGTATACGTACATTGGTGTCTATAGATATATGAGTATACGGATAACTGACAGTGGCGATGAAATCAACCAAGGACATGGGTGTCTATAGATATATGAGTATACGGATAACTGACAGTGGCGATGAAATCAACCAAGGACATGGAAATCAGATGGGTTGAAAAAAGCATGTTTAGCATCACTCGATTCGTACTTACCTTTTGCGTTTCTTAATTTGATATACAGGGAGGTGCAACGCACTTGCAACATCTCCAAACCTGCAAAGCATGGTTTTTGGCAGTGACAAAACCTCCATTCCTAGAATCGTATTCCCAGCTCAAAAACTCCAGTTGGTTTGCTGATTTCCCGACAACATGTGGTGCTGGCGAACATTCCCGGCCCCTCCGGGCTGCTATCCGTCACACTGCCTCAAGCCAGCTTTTTTCCGCAGTCCGCAGATCAAAGCATCAGCATCCGCAAATGACATGTTCTCAACATTGGAAACATTTACTCCAAATCATGGCTATCAAGACTTACTTCAGAAATAGCTTCTTTGTTTCCAAAGGAAAACATTCACCACCTATCGGTCTGGACATACTACAAATTTTGACAGATGCGCCTGTGAGTGCAAGCAGAGTCATTTGCTCCTGCATGTCACAACACTTCCTTACATTAGCTCCAATGGCCCATGTCTCTGGAAATAGTGACTTCATCTGTGCAAGCATGACACACACAGAAACCCAAGTTATTCTGAGATACTCAGAGACACACTCCCGACCATCAGCCAATGTGGAACCGTGCTTCAATCGATCAGCTCCTTTAAAAAGCTGCTCCAAGTTTCTTCGGTGCGCATAGGACTTTAGGGATGCATTGCATTGTAGGAGCATAACTACCAAAAATTGTTGCGAGTGGGATTTCAAAGTTTCATCTCAAGACTGATCTGGGCGTGTTCCAACCAGTGTATCAGAAATTCCGTTTGCAAATGCAACACATCCAGAACTGTGCTTCAAACGGGACATAGTTGCTCTGATGAGTCTGTCCACGCGCTCTGTGCTTGAAACCATTTACGCCAAAGGATCTGCCAACATCTCTGTGACTACAATCCTGTACGACTGCCAATAATGGCATCAAATTCCCTAGAATATGGTACTACGGAATGCCAACAACTACACACCTCCTCCATCTCATTGGTGCTCTCGCTCAAATGATCTCACCTCAGAACTTGAATTAAGAGACGATGAAGATCCTGCTACTGCTAGCAGTCATTGAAGATGTGAATAGCAGATTTAAAGAAAAGAAAACCAATAAGAAGAGACATCAAGGGACCAACAAGAAACGAGAGCGAACCTATCTTAAATCATCTCCTTCTGTAATATATGATATCGTTATATCTATACGTTATATATTATGGGAGAATTAAGGGTACCAGCAAATGGTAGTAGTAACCTATTTCAAGTTGCGAAAGGCTAGTCATATTTCTCGGCTTCTCGACTGTCTATTGTGAGCCTTCTTGATCTCCTTGGAGAACTTAGATTGTGAAAAGCTGCGGGGATTGTTGCAAACGAGTATACGGAGAAGACACTGTGTGTGTGTCAGTCACATCTCTGAAACTGGTTAGTATATCGCCTACTGTACTGTAGTTGATCCCAATTTTAGGGTTTAGGGGCACACTGATAATTTGTGATGTGATTTTTTGCTTGATAAAGCATGAGAAACTAGCGTCAACCATTCGATTTCTGTAGGTTTTCCCATGTGTTCCCAATCACCAT